TAATTAGATGCTACAAATGGCAAATGTAAGCATTTGTTATAAGAGGTGGTGTGGCAGGGTTGGGCAGCAGGAGAGGCAAGGCCAGTTAGTGGCTGTGGCTCTGACTTTGATGCCGAATGTGAGCCTGGGTTGTGGCCAGAGCAACTGCCTGCCCCCTCCTCACCTCATGCTCAAATTCATAAAATCATAGAAAATTAGGGTTGGAAGGGACCTTAGGAGGTCACATCTAGTCCAACCCCCTGCTCAAAACAGGACCATCCTCAACTAGATCATCCCAGCTAAAGCTTTGTCTAGCTGGGTTTTGAAAACCCCCAAAGATGGAGCTTCCACCACCTCTCTGGGTAGCCTGTTCCAGTGTTTTACTACCCTCCTAGTGAGAAAATTCTTCCTAATATACAACCTAAACTTTCCTTGCTGCAACTTGAGACCATTGCTCCTTGTTCTGTCATCTGCCACAACTGAGAACAGCCCAACTCCATCCTCTTTGCAACCCCCCTTCAGGGAGTTGAAGGCTGCTATTAAATCACCCCTCAGTCTTCCCTTCTGCAGACTAAAGCCCATTTCCCTCCTCATAAGTCATGGTCCCCAGCCCCTGAACCATTTTCACTGCACTGGGGGCCAATTTGTCCACGTCCTTCCTGCACTGGGGGCCAAAAACTGGACACAAGAAGGAGAGAGACTAATTCAAGACTAAGGGCTTCCTCTCGCCTGCCACGTTGAGGAGAGGGGGGCTCATCTTGGATGCGCACACGGGTAGCGAATACCACACGGGCACCAATTGCTCCGAGCCTCCGGGTACTTTGAAACAGCAGCTCTGGATCAGCATCACCAGGTCTTAAATATGAAATTACTGTATTGGAAGCTCAAAATTATCATCGTATTTGCTGAAAAACTGCCATACACTGAACAAAATATGCAAATAAGCATGCTAATAAGCATACAAATAAGTCTCATCAACTTTCTAGTGCTCCCTATAAGCTGCCAGCGAGAACTGGGTCAAAGTTGAAGCATTCTTTCCCGCCATGGCAAGGGGTCGCACTTGATGATCTGCTCAGGTCCCTTCCGACCCCACCAACCATGAAACTAACTGTGAAACGATGACTTGGGTTTTGCACTTGCTGCAGCCATTAATTGCCTCAAGAAACGATCGTCCCTAGCGACCACCTTTACCACTACCGGTGGTACATGGGACCAGGGTGGTAATTACGGTACCCCCGACAGCACCGCTCCGGACTCGTTCCCAGGGAGGGGCGCGGGACCCCGCGGTGTGACGTAGGACCCGCTCCAGGGGGGTCACGTGGGATCCGTTGCCTCGACTTGAAGCCGCCACGCGCTGAGGGGCCCCCGTGGCGCGTGCGCAGAGCAGCGGTGCTCCGCTCTCCCCTGCCCCCTCGGCCGGTGCCCGGCCCGCCTCACCCCGACCAGCTCCTTCTCCTCCAGCAGCCGCCGCTTGCGGATGATCTCTGCCCGCAGGATGTCCATGGCCCAGGTCTCACGCAGCCGCCGCCGGAAGAGACGCAGGAAAACAACCTCGCGTCACTTCCGGGCAAGCAGTGCCGCCCCAGGGTGGGAGGAGGGAAGCGGTGACTGCCCCTGAGCGCGATCCATGCAGCGCCCCCTGGCAGCCCCCTGCGGCGTTGCACCGCCCCCGCCGCCCGCGGGTGTGCGCATGCGCCAGCCCCTGGTAGTGCCCTGCATTAGCACCCCCATGGCAATGCACCTTAGCTGCAGGCTCCGTCAGTCTCAGGCACCCTAGCACCTTCTGTCCATGCAATGGGCAGGGGGCAGAGTGCAGCCCCCATGCCCTTTCCTGGGCCCACAACCCTCTGGGGCTGGGGGCCGAGGGGCTGGAAGCCAAGGGTCATTGCAAGCCCAGTCATTGGGGCTGGACCAACACAGCAAACCAGCCATGCCAGGCCGCTGGAGAACTGGTGTGGCCACCTTGGCACCAGGGGAATTGCCCCCCTCTGGCTGTGTCCCCTTTGGGGCAACACAGCATGCTCCATGAGCCGGTCTTTCAGGACCGCACTGGTGTTCCCAGAACAGCCTCATCTTCACAATCCTGAATTCACTCGTGAACCCCTTTTGATCCCCTGATCAGCATGTCATGATGTTTGACTTGCTCTAGGAAAAAAAAACAACCCCCTCCCCAAATTCCTGAAGTGCTTTAAAACACTGATCCCAGCCCTGTTGTTTCCAACACCCCGTCTCTACTGGGCACCTCAATGCTTTTTAGTCAAGTCTTCAGGTTCGGACATGCTGTGAAAATAACATTTGTTCCTCTGGTGGATAATTTTCTCCTACCTACAGACAAATTGAGTTCATCCACAATCATCCCATTTTACCTCCTTATCCTGATTCAAGAACAAATTCTATACTGTCCATCCTGGTTGGACTGGGTGACCGCCTTTGCTCAGCACTTACTTTGTCAACAGTCAATTAATCTTCCACCGTCCAAGTGTTTTGTTAGCCATAATAACCTACAATATGCCAAATCCTCTGCCTCACATTTTTATTCACCTGCTCCTGAAAGTGAGACAGGAAGCTGTCCTGAGAGCACCCCCGGGTGTTGCTTTCAAGCATGCCAGTGGCACAACTCTCAAAGAGCAGCAGCAGGGGTGCCCCATGGGATAGCCTCACCATGGCATTTTCTGCTTTGGTGAATGTGGAGTTGAAAGGGGTAAGGCAGGGCTGCGATTCTTAGAGGTGCTCTCAGCAGACTACAAGACATGCCCCTGGTCTCTTCTCAGGACCCAAATAGCTTCCTCTCCTCATAAATGCAATGCTGGTTTTTCCATCTCAGCTCATTCAGGAATCCTTCTAGACTTCTATGTTTATTTTCTGGTTAAGAACATGTCACGTGTGTCATTTTTTGTGGAGTGCAGCTCTCCTCATACTTCCAAAGGATAGCTTCATAGCTGACTTCCCCTGCTGGAGTTTAGCTGAAAACTTTTCAAAAATATCAGCTGCCTTCATAGCTGACTTCCCCTTGCCGAGTTTAGCTGAAAACTTTTTTAAAATATCAGCTGCCTCCAAATCAGCTGTTGTCAGACATGAGGCTACTTTCTGACAGCCTGCCACTGGGTAAGTTTGCTCCAGTTGTCCGCTCCAGTTGACTCCTCTGGTGGGACTTTTAAACACTCCATATTACCACACAGGACATTGTCTTGGTTTCATCAGACAGATGCCAGTTTCATTTAGCAACTTAGTTCTCAGTGATCAGCATGGTTAACAGGAACCTCTGTAGAACATAACAGCCAGACCCAACTGGCTCAAGCCACAGTAAAGATACAGTTTTCTGCAAAGGAGAGCTCAGATAGGTCCCGCGGCCATCTTACTGCTTGTTTTATTTCTTTGTCAGAGGCTGGGAGTCAGAGCAAAAGCCATAAACAACAAAATAAAAGAAAATGTTTTCCAGTGTAATAAAATGATCAAGTGTAGACTGTTCTCTGCTTCTATCTGGCCTACAAAGAACATAGGGCCAGATCCAAAATTGGATGTAGGTGCCTACAGAGGAGCTTAGGCACATAAGTCCAAGTGAGCAATCCATAAAACATATGTCCGACCACTCAGGTGCCTAAAACCCAAAGGTGCTTATGTTTTCAAAGCTTAAGTCAGCGGTCAGCAATCTTTTGTCAGCAGCTAAAAGCTCCAAAGATGGGTCGCCACCCGTTTCCTTTGCTGACACATCCCTCCATTGCTTCTGACTCACTTGCTGCTCTTACTGCTTTCATCATTGCTAGATTGCTACTTACACCCCACCTTTGTGGGCCAGATAAAATTATTTTGCAAGACAGATCCAGCCTGTGAGCTGTAGGTTACCAACTCCGACTTTAGTTAGGTCGGCTCCTAAAATTCTGCTACTGCATATGCCTTGAACTGCTGCCATCGTGTCTGGGCTGAGCATGTGGGTACCTAGATCCCACCAGCCGTTCCTGCACCTAATTACCCGGAGGGGCCAAATCAAGTTGTCATATTCAGACCACCCATAATATATAACAAGAGAAATGAGATGAGCACAAATCACTGCACCAAGGGTTTCTCTGACTCAAAACCACACCTAATGGCAGTCACCTTGTATATAAGAATCTATTGGTTATAGCAGTTGCCCAGGAGGTGGGAGACCCGAGTTTAATTCCCACCACAGCCAGAAAAATTCAGAAGCAGTTCTCATGTTTCCCATTATCCTAGGCTATAGGCTAAGCTCAGGTTGAACACACACTCTCTCCCTCTTGTAGAAAGTGGGGCACTCAGGAGAAAGGAATGCAACATTAATGGGGCAGGAATGAAGGTAAGCAAATCATGACTTCATAGCCTTGTGACAGGGACACTTCCCTTCAGAGGTGTTATCTTGGGTTCTGGGCCTTGCTCCAATGCAACTCATGCATGTTATCCAATGACTCCTTAATGCAAAATACATAACCAGTCCCTACAGATATGTTGCTGGTTCTTAATACTCTGAGAATAAATGAGAAAGCAAGGAGATCCTAATAAAAATGACAGTCAGAATATGTTATCTTACCACACAGGGACTTGAACAGTAAGGCCTTACACTGAGCAAGCTGAAAATATGTCCTCAAGAGAAGAGATTGACTATACTTTACTTGTCTATTTTGCCTGCCGGCAGAATATAATCCTGATATTTCAAAAGGGCTGACAAAAAGCAAAGACAAATTCACAAAATCCAATTATAACAACAGAAATCCTGACTTCTCAAATCAAGGCAGATATTTTCAAGAAGGCTTCTGGAAAATGATATGCAATTATGGCAAATGAAACACACTTGGTCCACAAAGAGCAAGTACCTCCCTGGCTGTGATATGTGGATGATGACGCTATGTTCATGAAGAGTTCGCTGGACTGACAATGTAGCTTATCCACTGGTGGAGGCAATGATATGAATAACTACAGATGTTGTGGACTGGACAAAACATCACTAAGTAGGCAGGTGAAACTGCTATCCTTTATTTAAGATAGCTGTAAGAAAGTGCTAGTTAGTCCTCTATAAAATAGTAGGGATATGCAAACCACAACATATGTCACTACCGAAAGCAAAGGTACATAGGGGATCCCTCAGGAATACCCAGTCAGAGGGGTTTTGCTGGAAATAATTTCAAGTTGGGTATTAGGGTAGGAAAAGACAAATAGCAGAAGCCTCACAGAAGGGGACAAAAGGAGCAGAAAGGCAGGCACAGCCATTGAAGTAGTGATAGCACAGCCATAAGAGAAGAGTATTTGGGTCAGTGACTGGCTAAGAGAGGCTTAGGTTTGTAAATAAGGAAAGTATCTCCTAATGTTTGATTCCTCCTGTGTTTAGGGAAACAGGACTTTGTGTGTTATAAACAATCCCAGTTACAAAGAAATACCCGACTCTTTATTACCAGTTTTTCTTGCTGCTTGGAACAAACTCCAAGAGCCTGATTTTTGGCTAGCCATTCAAGTCAAAACATGGCAATATATACTAAAGTAGTATTGCAACTAAACCTGAGGATAAACAACTGTCACAGACAATCCTAAATTGGTTGCCAATAATGCAGCAGGCTTAGTATCACATGAAGCAATCAGATTGTAACAGAAGGAACCAAGGGCTACTTACACTCGTTGCTATGGGCCTACTTTGAATTGAGCATGCAAGGATGCCACTAAGAATATCATCCTAAGAGATATACTTGAAACTGTTTACAAAAAATCACAAAATTAATTAAAAACTGCTCAAGTGAGAAGCTTTATTTCAGGACGTAAAATACAAAGTAGTAAGTACATCATCAGGTATCCATGACATCTGTCCAACAGAAAGCAGAAGTGTAGGCTTCAATTTCTGAGAACTACCTTTCATTCTGTGCAGTTTGGGAGGTTGCAAACAATGTATTAAGAAACTGAAATGAGAGCTGCTTTGGCAGTGTAGCAATTCAAAGGGCAAGCTATAACTTCCTCTTTTGTATTGAATAAGGCTGAAGAGTCCTAGACATGGTAGAATCCATCCAAAACTCTGCAAGTGTAGGGCATTTCAACAAGGGGAGGCCAATCTCCCATAAACTGCACTTTGTTCTATGAGGTTCATCCAAAATCTTGATACAGCCCCAAATTTCAAAGAAATGAAAGTGCTTGATTCCAATTCTTCCACAACTGATTACTCATCTACAGAAAATCAGTAATTGGATATCAGAACAATCACTGAGATCAGCCCAGCTTGTAAGTATAATTTCACTGCTCTCTTTAGAGGTAAAAGTTGAGACAATCACAGTTCAACCAGTGTTTTGATTCCACATGGATAAAAGGAGAACACTGCTGATTCACAGCTTATAGATGTACACGCACAGTTTGAAACTTTATCAGATTTGCAAATTGGTTTACTCATATTTGAAAAAAATAGTCGTTAAATGAGATCAGTATGTACCCCAACAAATGTGCCCATTTGTAACAAAATGAGCTTCTCTTCAGTGTTTTTTTTGTTTATTAAAGTAATACTTACATTTTGGTGGGTATTAGATTGCCCAAACCACCCAAATTTTTATGCTCCTGTTTACATCTGTTTATTCACATGGTACTTCAGTTTATCACTGGAGAGGGTGGGGAGAGAGGGCATCAAACCCTCTCTCATGGACCTACAGTAATTTATTGCAGAGTCTGGTATTATCATCCAGGAGTTATGATTATGCAAAACTTCTCTTTATAAGAACATGTATTCAAGGTAATCATTAACTGTTTCGACTGAAATTTCCCATACTCTAGATTTGCTTTAGGTTATTTTTTTTTAAGTTTCAGCTAAAATTATCCAGCCATTTCAAGAACAGGATTAGGCAAATACATTGTTTTGTCCACGTTAAAAAAAATAATTGTTTGTTAAGACACTCTGAAACTGCGAGACTATGGATCAATGTGTTGAAATTTGACAGGAAAGTCACCCTGATGTCAGGGATGGGCCTAATGAAGCATCTCTTTGTGAAGAATCTGAAAAAACCCTCCAAATAATCTGTTTGGACATGCTCAGTAGAACTCTTTCTAGTTTAAGTTCAGCTCTCGGAAGATTCTATCTACTCTGAACATGTTCCCCCCCTCATATTTCCTGCATGGGCCTGGGCTGAGTATTGCATTATCCTCGCTCAGCATCTGAGCATGCTCCATCCCGAAGGCCATCCAAGTAATTGCTCCTCCAAGATGCTGGGAGTCTACTATTGAGCCAGGTGTCCAGACTGAGCACTAAAGAGGCATGTCCTATATGCTCTTAATGCTTCCCCTGCTTGGAGGAAGAAAGTAGCCTGGTAGATCTGCATATCCTAGGGGGAAAAATGAAGCTTTGGCTTATATACAAACACTGATTTGGAACTTCAAGTGGACTTTAGCTGAATAAACCAAATATACCAAATACCAAATCAAATATTAGGAAAATATCTCTTAGTAGGCAAGGTTCTTTGGGTAGATGTGATATCTCTTAGTAGGCTTTGTTCTATTCTTCTATATACCTCTTGAAATGAAATGGTTGTGGATAGGTCACTGTACCTTCATCATTGGTTCAAAGATCAAGATCATTGGTTTATTTCATCCCTGGGATGATAATCATTGAAAGCTGTTACCAAATTATCACTATCAGAAGGTGTTGGCTTGTTTCCCACTAGATCTATCTTGCAAAAAAAAAAAAAACCACCGTCTCAGATGACAAAGTTATTGGCTAACACCGCAGGGAGGGGACGGACCAGTTTGGGT